TTTGAATGTATGGCTTGACACAGTACAAACTAGTGGATATGGGCATAATTTATCTACAGCCAGCTAGATTGTTCGATAAAAAAATAGACGTACAAATTAAGAGAAAATTTACCTAACTGAATAATTTTGCACAGCTTTTGTCCAGTAGCAGGTTTCGTAAAGTAGTAGTAGCAATAATAATAATAATAATAATAATAATAATAATAATAATAATAATAATAATAATAATAATAATAATAAAAAATAATAATAATAATAATAATAATAATAATAATAATAATAATAATAATAATAATAATAATAATAATAATAATAATAATATACATGGTTTCTGATAAAATATTACACTACAAACTAATGTCTTCATTTTCACACATGAAAATCCTCCAAAACGTATAATATTGGTGTTAGACGTTGACTGCGACAGATGTTGATAATCAGTTTACATTTTAATGTCATATTGTGTATTTTGTTTGACGTCAGAAAATGCTTCCCCTTTCAATTCAAACTTACCAAGTTTTCACGCGAATTTTACTTCGAACAAAAGTCTGCATAGATCTGATTTCTGTGTGCCACACGAATACAATATTGTGATTGGAATTTCTGTACGGTGCTGTAGCTTGTTACATGCCTGTTGCAATTAGAGGTAACACGTTGTACTAAAAATTCAATGTCAGACGATTGTTAAGAAAAACATGACAACTATAAATCATGCCGACAATAAAGTACGGCAGAAGTGCAATACAACCTAAATGTCGCATTTTGTACGAGGTTCAAAATGAATAGAATCAATAAAATCAGTTACCACTCTTAAATCCCAAAAATATACACATAAACAAGTACCAGATGCTCAACGGTTGTGTCATATACTGGCAATGAGTGATAATTTTTAATTGTAAAAATTAAGTAGATAAATTAAATGTTTTGCTTAAAGAGACCGAACATTATGAAGAAATAAGGAAGAAAAACACTGCCGCATATAACGTTTTAAATTGATGGGAAATTGTTTTGGCCAGCTGCTTTAGGTGTTGCAAGTAGAATGAGTGCCTTTATCTCTTTAGCGGGTTTGATACATCGTGGTCGGCTTTTTGTTGCACAGTGTTTAAAGGAAACATTGATATGCAGTACATGACAAAATAGTAAATTATGTCACCAAAAAGTCTAGCAATGCTGCGAATATAAGCAAAGTGTGTCAGTGACAATGACATAATGTAAGTGCTTATTTTAGTCATTAACGAGTGCAACAAATGCAGTGAGATACAGAATGCAATTAAGAAAAATAAAACCAATACAGAGCGCCAAGATAAAGAGATATTGAGATAAAAAAAAACCCGTAAAGGAGGGAAAGTAACTGAAAAAGAAAGATAGATATACGAGAATCGCTGAAAAGAAGCTCCGTTGTGGAAAAGTTTCCAACTATCGTAAACATGCTGCGCGCCTTTTGCAAAATGTACAAAAAACTGTAATGATGGTGGGCCTATTTCTGCTGCACAATTCCTGGCTTTTTAATTGGTCCTCGATATATGGATACTATTTTGATAATCCAAAACATATGCAACTATATAAATGTCAATAATGAACGAGCACGTGTGACTTTGTTATTGTTGTTGTGGGTTTAACGCCTTTCTACAGCACATTATATGCCTACGTGGCGGAGGATGAACCCGGGCAAACTCCGAGAAGGATCACCGTCCCATGGAAAGCTTTATTACTTATCCATGCTGGCCGAGACTAAAACGAGAATCCACGCGGACAGGGGTGAGATGTGAGTGATCTGTATAGGAGAGCTCCCTAGACCACTTGCACACTTGGGGACCTAGGCACTTGCACACTTGGGGACCTAGGCCACTTGCACACACTGGGCCCCACTAATAAGTTTGATATTTGCATGAAAATGTCAACGAGGGAACGATTGCTTAGTGTGGCAACTAAAACAGTATAAAAGTTATCCCTTTTTGAAACAGTTCTTAAGTTCTGTCCACTCCGATTACCAATTAGGCGACTCATACATAATATAATTTAATAGCCAGAAGCTCTTTATTCACCCAAGGTAAGAAGTACATGACAGCAGTAAGTCTTACTCGTAAACCGAATTGCTGCTACAGGACTTGATGAGAGCAGTATAGCTAACGTATAACATTTACATCCAGTAAAATGTATTTTGTAATTATTTATTTCTCATGGAGATGATGCAATGCCAATTAGACTGTAATTATAATAGAAAAATATAATACTCAGACTGAATAGTTCAATAGAAACAGCTACTTGAAAAAAGAATTACGAGGACAAGGTTTGTTGACTTTAGGCAATCTGAAACATTAAACATTGACATACGTATAACAATATCAAAGCTCGTCGAACCAGGTACTTTGGTCGTCTCGTTTGTTATGAAGGTAAAACGAGATGCAAAAAATGCCCCGGTAAACAATCTAGGTAGACTGCCCGAGTAGGACATCTCTATATCTTACACGAATGATCCTATTTGAAATTTGAATGACTTTAACTTTTTAATGATAAACAATTTATGTTTAATGCTTAAAAGAAACAGTAGCACAAATGATAAGATTAGAAAGTTGTGGTTTCGAATGCAACGTTTAGTTTACAGTTTATGGAAAATAGTTTTAAAATACCATTTGACTTTCAGATTCTAAGAAATCATTGTCTACTTATTCTTGGGCTCTTCCACGTTATTTAAAGTTTCATATGACACTTGCAAAATCCTCTGAAATGATGGTAGATGGTAAGCAAGACTACGAGCTAATATTTATAGTAAAAGGGTATTTAAAAATCTGAATATTAGTGTGCTGTGTTAGTGAACAGCACGTCAATGCGTCGTCTCAAAGTACTTCCCATGCACTTTTCGCATTTCTCTGTCTAATTATATAATTAGTAAATGGCATTTTGTATTAATTTTTGACATGTTCGTACACTGGAAAACTACTCCCAACCGCACGGTAGCGTTAAAATCGTCTGCCCCAGATCGAATCTTTGATAACGGGATTCATTCAAAAATTACTTCGGACTGAATCAGGGATGTATGGAGGCTGTGGCAAAATATGGATTGTGTGCTCCTTCGGGATGGCTGTCACAATGGCCGGTGCGTTGTCATGGAGTAGACGGAAATCTCGGGTACTGGTGAGCAGATGGGTGGCACTATTTGGCAACACGTTGGAGGTACAAAAATGTCCAGTGGCACTAGCAGAGTTTGACACAGGTTCCATACTATCGGAGCTTTTGGAGCCGAAAAACTCTTGCCAACCCGACACCGTCGAGTTATTTATTGTCTGCTAGTTTTGTTTTTCATATCCAGACTTTATTATTCTCTATCAAATCCGGTTCAAAAACGTAAATCAATGTTTCATCATTTGTGACAATCTCATTCAAACGTCTCTGGCCATTTTTTTTTCACTTAGTCAGCCGTCGACTGATCAAGGACACATCTAGCGTAAACCTTCGAACAATAATGATTCTTCCATATGTTTAAAACATATAAACTAATGCCCGTGATAAAATAAATTCTTTCACTGTGTAACAAACATTTTCATCAAACATTCTCACAGCATCCACTTCCCGTTCACCAATAGCAGATAGCAGCCTTCCAGAATTGGGCCATCTTCCATGGATTAGCGAAAATCATACAATTGTGAAATCACCTCAAACTTTGAAGAATTGCATCCCCACACGTAATCCAAGTCGGCCATGATTCCAGTCGGAGACTACAACTGGAGATCCCGGATTTTACCGGACAATAGTTGCACAGTGGCTGTTTCTCGTTCTCCGACATTTGTGTTCCTCTCACTTACATGTTACCTCACACGGAGATATCTGCGGGTGCCCGGTGTGCTTCACGTGCAGTTGATCGGCATTAACGTTACTGAGCTCATAACAGAAACAAAACGGTTATTCAAAAACCTTAAAATACCCCCAGTACAATAGGAAAACTTCGGAACACATAGCGTCATATGTTGATGACAATGAAATTGCTTTTTCTTCTTAATGACAATACAACAATTAAGAGAATTGTCCACATAGAAGCCACTACAACTTGACACAATCTCGTACTTGATCCACCAAGAACGGTGTTTTTGATATTGTGTTAAAGGATTCCTCAAAAAAGGTGTTTTGATATTGTGTTGAAATAGCGGAGTCATTATTCCTGAAATGTTTTACAACTCGGCAAGAATAAAAAAATATAAGAGTGACTATTGGTCTACAAATATCGTTTAATCCAAGGGTGTTTAAGATATGGTTTATTCCAAAGGTATTCAATTGAGGTTATACTTTGCTGAGGTCACTATATATTAATTTGACGAACAAAAAAGCACACAGAAATTAGGAACGCAAAGGCCAGAATTTTTGTTACAATGTTGACCATTGTATTTGTTTTGATTTATGGACTACATCCGACGACAGATTGCACGGTCATAAATTAGACAACATTCATTCAGGTATCCACTTGCATATCAACAGAGAAGATGTGGCTGATCAGAAAATATATATTTATTTACTTTAAGATATTAAGGAAAACTTTAAAAAGACAATTTAGCCATTATGTTTTGGGCATGATAAAAAACGTAATTGAAATAACCTCATAAAAATGAATATGTATGGTGAGATTAACTGTGCAGACCGTTTTTATATAAACGCTAAACACGGAAACCTTTATTGACTACATCGTTATCTTCTGTACAACAATACTAAAAATGTAACATGGTAACCCCAAAGATCAAATCGTGATTTTGATAGCTTTCTGAGATAAAGGTGTGTGTGTGTGTGTGATTTTGATTTTTAACGTAAAATAAAAAATCAGTCGTATCACTAAGATGTCTGCAGTGTGGCAGTTTACATTGATGTCTAGCACTAGGACATCATGCTGCAGACATGTACCATCATGTCCCATCCAGCCACATTATACCGACACCAGGCCGACCAGTCTTAACCTCTTATGGCTGAACGCCAAGCGATTCAGCTGAAAGTATGATTTTAACAAATCTTTGTTATGATTCGGCCAGGGTTTGAACACGCGACCTCCCGCATCAGAGGCGGATGCACTAACTACTTAGGCCACAGAAGCGGTCGAAAGTTCGAGTTACTTGTTAATATTCAGCAAGATGATGTAAAAAGGCAACTTACCTTACTTAATCTGCTTTTAGTGGGAGTGGACATTTAGAAATATCATTATGATTGATTTTGTAAATGATGAAAAATGGCCAACGCGAGAATGTTAGGCTTTTAGTGGTCTTCAACTGCAAATCAAAGAAGGTACTGGAAACTTGTTTTTTTTTTTTTAAAAAAAAAAAACAGTCATCCCAGATGAAATTAAAGAAAAGTTGCAGAACCTCTAAAAAAAACCCCAAAACCCATAAGAACTATACATTTAATGGCAATCGGGCTTAGGTCCATGTCAAATATCACTTGTGTTGAAGACACAGTACTTACGTCATTGTAACGTAATGCATTTACTTTCTCCATCAAAAAAGCTGACCATTTTACGAATCTCTATGTGGGTATGTTTTAGATTTTTAAAGTAGCTTTAACACTACAAATCTAAAATAACTTTGTTTTCATAATTTTATGATGGTGTAAATTTACTTAAATAATTATTTTTCTTGGATAAAATTTATTTGTTGAACTCAAATTTATTTAAAAACAATTCTGACTTTATCATCTTTGGAATGGGTGATAGACCTAACAGCGTCATTAACATAATATGCCCAGCTTTGGGATTGGTTATGGACCCGTGTCATTAATATGCCCAGCTTTGGGATTGGTTATGGACCCGTGTCATTAATATGCCCAGCTTTGGAATGGGTGATAGACTTAACAGTGTCATTAACATAACCAATCCCAAAGCTGGGCATATTATGGACCTAACTGTCCTTAATATACCCAACAATGGGTGATAGACCTAACAGTGTTATTAACAGAATATGCCCAGCTTTGGGATGGGTGATAGACCTTACAGTGTCATTAATATGCTCAGCTTTGTTGTTGTTGTGGGCTTAATGCCATTTTTCAGCACATTATAGGTTTTACATGGTAGCCAGTATTAATGGTGAAGGAAGAAACCGGGAAATAACTGGAAAGAACCACTAACCCACGAGAAACTACTGACAAGCTTTCTCACATATCAACATTTGCAGACTCCTAGACTCAACCCACACAGACTGAGGTGAGTTGGCAGTGATCCATAATGGACATCGCTTAAGACCACTGCCCACTTTGAGATGGGTGATAGATAACTGTCATTAATAAGTCCAACTTTGGTAGAGTGATAGACCTAACAGTGTCATTAACATAATCTGTTTAGATTTTCCAAACAAACAAAATCTATATCTTATCATCTGGTATATGTGCATGTCAAGAATTTAATGCATTTTTTTTTCACTGTTCTTTTTTCCAAAATCTTGTATGCATTTGGGCCATCAGAGAGTGTGGGGGTAAGAAAAACAACAACTGTATAATTCTTTATCTGTATTCTTTCATCAGTATTATATTACAATAAGTTCATTTATTTATTCATGAAGAAAAGTGACGACACATTTGCTCGTAAAATCTCAACCCTTCCACCTGTTGCTGTGTATACATATATGTATCATGTACAGTGTAGGTGCTGAGATTTATAAAATTAAAATGAGCATTCTGACATACAATCTCAATGATATAAAACTATATAGTACATCATGATAAAGCACATATATATATATATTTCATAACAATAATACTTTTGAGGGGCTTTGGTATAATAGCATTTGCAGGAAATATTTGTCTTTTATAACACTCATTTTTGTTGTTGCCATTTAGTTACCATTCTGGGATACCAAGAAATCTGTCAAACCTATTGGTTTAAACTCACAACTCAGTCTGTATTAATTTTTAATACAATTTGATTGCAGACATGGCAATGAAATTGTCTATTTAAAAAATGAAGCACAAGGTACATTGAAAATAATGCATCACCTAATCCATCCTGCTTTCAAGTCCGTAATGCAGCTGTATTTAGATATTTTATTACATATTATTTATACTTAAAAAAAACCTCATGTTTGGGTTAGCAGCAGCTCAGTGCATTCTGGGTAAGAAGGTGAGTGAAACAAAGTCATTTACATATGATTGCAGATGAACCTGACAGCGCCATTAACACCCAAATTGTAAAAATATTTTGACAACCTCTGCATAAATAACAATTCAATGACAACAATACAAAAAATGGAAAATAAAATGAAAGATTCAATTTCATTTTTTTTTCTATTTAATAATTAGTATTACACACATAACATCCCTTAGAATCATGTACTATTGTTAAGCCTACTTTAGCAGAAACCCAACAAACCAATCACTTTGCTGCCTGCTGTGTGTATCTGTCTGTCCATCCACACATTAAATTAAAGCTTTTCTTTCTACATACTGTATATACTTAATTACAATCCAGATTCAATGCACAGACTAATTCTAACATTTTGTCTAGGTGTATGAAGAATGCTGGAAAAATCAGCTGAACAAAACGACACAAACCCTGATTTGCTAGCACAGTATGTAATGGCAGATATGGGTCCAAGTTGTTTGTAATTGGACCGGACTTCCATAGATGGCAAATAAAAGGTGGGTGTGTCAAAATGCAGTCTCATGTAAAATGCAAATGAACTTTTATATAAAATTTAGCTTCAAGTTTAATTCTATATCACACAATTCTTTCTAATTTTGTACAGACCATAGATCTTCTAGTTCCTGACAAAAGAATGTATAGTTTCATAGGGAAATTCAACATTATTTTTGGGATTTTGTTTGGTGATGTTAAACAAATCTAAATTTCATTTTAGACAGATACACACTGCAATTTTTGCATAAATGTTTGGAAATTTGTTGGAATTCAAAAGGTTTATTAATGTTTATTAATGGTTGTATATACCAAGAAACTTCAAAAGCCAGTACTGCATGACAATATGTCTCAAATATGTGTTATGCCAAATCACTGTGTATTCAATTTGACCAAAAGCAAATCTATGTTTTATGATTGTTTTCACATGCTGAAATATCAGTCAGTGATAATAATAAAGAACAACATGCCTTAAAAGGGAATCATGGATTGTCAGAAATCCTCCTGTTCACATAAATCATACACACCAAGAACAGGACATTAAAGAAAACTGAAAAATTGTAACATCCACTAATATCAATATTGCTTCAAATAAATACAAACTATTCAGTCCGATTTTTCAGTAGGTTTAGGCTTAGTCTTCCAATACCTAGAATCTCATCATCATATAATGGAAAATAATAAGATGGTATATAGATAATAATATAAGCCTTGGATATTGCAAGTGTTTGTGGTTGTGGAGGAACATCTGTCCACTGAAATACACACAGATATTGTTCACCCACATTTGGGATGATAAAAGACAAAAAATGGGTTGAGTTTAACTTTTCTGATGATTATATAAGTGATATTCTCCCACTGTCATGCTTCTTAATAGAAATGATCTCAGCAAAATCAAGAATTATATATATATATATATATATATATATATATATATATATATATATATATATATATATATTCCATCTTGAATGTAAATGAATAACAGTGAACATTGTTCAAGCAGATTATGTAATAATTTAATTTAAATTAGGTAAAACACATCACTGTTTTGTCGCTTTCATGATGACAGTATCTGCATTACCATTTATGTTACATTTGTCCATTAAAATAATTTATCAAAGTTAATCCATTCTTATGACATTTAAATCAAATGTTAAATAATAAATAGTAACACTAGCAAACATTTGCAAGGTAAATAAAAATGTTTGGACAATTTATTTTAAGAAATGTCAGCTTCATTACATTAACACAGACATAATTTAAAAACAATACTGAATGTTATCTATTTTCAATTTAAAATTATAAATGACAGCAACATCTATCTGTTCTTGGAGAATAAACTCTTTTTGTCGTCTTTTCAAAGTATAAAAAGGCCTGTGCTAAAAAATGGCAATAAACACAGAAACTAAATTGGACCAAAATAAAAATGCTATAAATTATTATGGCTTTTCATTTTACCCTGGAATACCACCCCCTGAATATTTCAAATAGTTTATGAAAAAAATAATATTATCCACCAAAGGTTATAATATGTAGTGCAATGTAATAGTTCCATATTATTTTTGTAGTGCAGGAAAAAGATCTACTGTTTCAATTCTAACATGAGACTATTTGCTTTTTAAAAATGAAAAAAACAACTCAAAGCAATGGTCCAGATGGGTGAAAAAAATTTCCTGGACTGTTTCATCTGTTTACCTACAGAGTGTTGGAACCATCTCTCATTCCTCAGCAAAAGGAATTTTAAGATGGATGCCATATTGGATGTACCATATCCCCTTAGGGCAATACATCTTTTGGTTAAAAATCCATACATTTATATCACAATCCATTTGGAAGGAGTTGCAAATAACGAGATGTTAGAGCTGGTCAACATAACAGTCATATTAGTTGTAATATCAGAACCATTTTCTTTTAGAACCAAACAAACACAAAAATCTTTTAGCAAAATCATCATGCTGACATGACCATCAGTAGTAGTGACAAACATTTTTAGTTTGGTCTGATTTGGTTTCAGCACATGATACATGGCAGCCAGTGTAACAGGTGGAAGAAGTTACTTGCGATCAGAGCTGAGGCTTGACCTCTTTGAGACGGAGGTGAGATGTCAGTGATTCTGAAAAGATGAATGTCTTAGACCACTTGGGAATCCAGGAGCCCTTTTATTTAAGACCACTTGCCCATTTATGGGCCTTTTCATTTAGGACCAGCTAGATATTGCAACATTTCTTCTAGTGTGATCCCCATGTTGATATGTCCATCTATCCTGGAGAAGTAGGGATAGAAAGATTTTGCAAAATGGCCACAATGGCTGCCATATTGAAAGTGCAAGCAGCAACATTTTCATTTAGTACTGACCAGCCCTTGGCATGACTGTCATATTCATTTAGTACTGACCAGCCCTTGGCATGACCGTGTCATGGCAACCCTCAATGCCAGTCAGGCATAGTGATAACCAACTTGTGCCTAGGAGAAAT